TAAAATAGGAAGTAAATACTAGGGAGATATGATTTACCTTGATTGTAGGACTGATTTGTAGGAATTTGATTAGTCTTCTTTCCTAACATATTCTTTCCTAACATAGAATTTGTAACTTGTATATATACATACGAGATTGATGAATAAAACAACAAATTCTTCTTCTTCCTCTATTTACTCTTGTTTTACACCCCCCACCAATCTTCTTCCCCGTCTTGAGATCCTGTAAAACACAAGTGGAAGGGAAAAATGTAATAGAGCAATTAAGAGTCGTGGTTAATTTACTAACAGACATAAGATTGAATGGAAACTTAGGGACATATGGAACAGATGATAAAGAAAGAGAAGCCATGTCAGCATTACCAACACCACAGATGGGAGAAGAAGAACCGTTGGAAAGGTTAACAGTTTGAGATGTGGAAGTTTCAGAGAGGGAAGAGAACACACCTGGAGTCCCAGTCATGTGATCAGAGGCTCCAGAGTCAATAATCCAGGGAGAGGGTTTGGATGCCAAATAAACTATACCTGAGTGGGCAAGGGTGGTTGTAGCATGCTGTGAAGTAGCCTGGAGAAACCTCTCATACTCATCACGCAGTACACTCACCATTTCCTTCCCGGAAACAGATGTGGAAGGTGTTAGATCTGCCTGTTGGTTATCATTGACATCAACCCCACCAGCTACTACATGATTAGCCCATGTAGAAGGAGGGCCATGGAAATCATAATAGAAATTCACCGAATGTCCGTCCCTGCCACAATGGGTACACTTCCTTGTAGAGTTACTTTTTCCTTTACCACGGTCTCCCCCTAAGTCACGACCACCACCACGGCCAAATAAGGAACCACCATGACCTCCTCGGGAGACATGTCCTCCTCCTCAAGTACCATGCCCATCTCTTCTGACTATCACAAATGCTGATCTGTCAAACTGTGTGGCATTCTCTGTAGATCCCAAAGAAATCCTACGAAGCCGTGCAAAAACTTCTTCAAGTGTAGGAAGAGTAGAGCATCCCAATATTTGGGTCCTAACTGGTTCATATTCTGATTTCAACCCCACTAAGAACCTTGTGACATCTAGTTGTTCCCTCTGTTGTTGCTGAACCTTAACATCTGAAGTGAGGAGATGATAAACATTGAGTTCATTTATGAGGTTCCTCATACTGGCATAGTACTCTTTTAGGGTTTTATTCCCTTGCTGCTGATCGAAATACTCCTGATAGAGCTGATATACCCTTGTAGTATTATCYTGYCYARAAYAMARCTTCTTGGCATGTTCCCATATGTCCTTAGCTGTATCTAAGAACATAAAGTTGGCACTTATTTTGGGTTCCATACTATTCCATAATCATGTCATAATTTGGGCATCTTCGTGTTCCCAGTCATCAAACCCTGGAGAGTCAGTTGATGGTTTATCTTCCTTCACGTGTTTCACTTTCCTCTTTGCCTCGAGGAAAACTTCCACTGACTTGGCCCATGGCACATAATTCTCACCATTAAGTTTAATGGAGGTCATTTGCACACCCAAATAGTCAGAGGGGATCATCACACTCAGTTTCTGATCACTAGAACCATCTCTTGTTGCTGCCATTATGTCCCCCACTGCTATCTCTAATGCTGAACTCTCAGTCACCAACTAATTACTACTGTCAAGGCAACACTACAGCACACTGATAACAATCTCACAACTAGTCACAATCAACAACTTGATGTAGACTAACATTAAGGTTAAGAACTGGATGTTTTGACCAGATTCAGCTACCATCCAGATTAGAACATTGATGAAAGCTACTACGCTGAGGTATTCGGCCACTTCTTTCAGCACAAATTTTTTCTGTTCACACCACTACTGACATCTCAGAAATATTAGGCACCATTACAACAACACAACACTCAAGCAACCACACACAAAAAAGATTTCTGTTCACACCACTACTAACAACCCAGAAATAGTAGTCACCATGACAGCAATGCAACAACTCGAGCAACCACACACAAACCCTCTTGAAATTGTTCAGTAAAGGGTAAACACCACAAGCACCATCACACGACCAGGGCTGTCACACATGGTGACGGCAGTATTAGGCTGATATCCTAGGGTTTCTGCACCTTCCTAATACTTGTAATAGGGATTGCAGCAGTCCTAAAACAAAAAATAAATAACAGATGCCGCAGCTATCAGATTGTGTACCTCAGATTCGCAGCCCAGAGAAGAAGAAAAAAAAAAGAGAGAGAACTTGAAGTCGCAGCCTTCTCCTTCGTTTATGGCTCTGATACCATGTTTTGACAGCTCTGTTTTAGTAGTTCGAACCAGTAGAGAGTAAGGGAGAAAGAAGAAGAAGAAGGAAGAAGAAGAACTGTCGAATCTCATGGCATAAACCCTATTAATCGACCCTAATATGAATTAGCCTCTAATTAGTTGTACAAAGACTAAACTGCCCCCCACTTAAGTATGGGACAGGAAGTCTCTATTAAAACTGCCACATAAGCACATAACTTAACAGAAATAAAATGACTAATCTACCCTTATTCGGCTAGATCTAACAGCATAATTTAGTGGTTGATGGAGACTCGAGCACATGCCAAATAGTTAGCTAAGCAACTGGGAGTGACAGTCCTGGACACAGCTGCAAACAGGTGGCTTATTCAGTAGCAAGACAAGGGGTCAATATGGATAAATTGTTTTGGGGGGCACCCTTGTTTATTTATTTATTTTGTTCACATTTCCTAAATAATGAGGTTAGGTAGTACCTTGCTATCTTAGATGATAGACCTGTCATCATTGTACATATTCTTGTTTCAGTTACCAATAAAAAGGTTAAGAGTTCTGTCAGTGGTTGCCTCTTTTTATCATTTTTAATCTTTGCAGATGGAGGCTTTTATTTCTTCATGTCTTGTCTACTTTTGTACAGGTTATCAACCGCTATGAAAAAGAATTTGGTGAAAGAAACTACCGTTTTACTGCAGGAAAAGTTGATTTCATATCTGTTGATGCTCAAACTCTTGATGGTAACAGACTAAGCTGCTGTTTTCTTTTACCTTTTTCCCCCTTTTATACATATCTTTGTGTTGCAATTATTTAGAATGACCTGCTGTTCTCTTCTTCATCTGGTTTCCTTTGAAATGTCCTATTCCATGAATTGAATATTTACATCTTTACATCCCCATCAATTGAATCCTTCCATGAAATTCTAGTTATCTTTCTCTCTAGGGTTTCTCATATGTAATTTAGAACTTTGGATGAAATATTTGCATCATCTGTTTCATCAATCATCATATTAATAGAAAATGCCTCACTAGACAACAAAGGATTTATTTCTTACTCTTTACTTCTTAGACATAATTTTTTTCTATAAACTTCAATATATCAATGAAGAGAAATGAAGTGCTAGCTAAGGGTGATGTGAAAGACTTATTTTTAAAGAGAAGTAGCCAAATATAAAAGGTTATGCAATAGGGTTTTCTTATTACTTGTATTTAATGTTGGCATTCACTCTATTAGTGAATACAAATAACTTTCAGATGATGCATTTTATCCCTCTTGTACAGAGGAGATATTCTTCTTGAACCTGGTCTTGAACAAGTTTGCAAAGAAACTCATATCCTGGGAAAATAAGATACATCTATTTAGAAGGTTGTATATTCATCGAGCAAGTCTACCCTCAATTTCTGTTTTTGTGCTCCTATTAGGTATAAAAAATCATGAAAGGCTCTTTTCGCTGTATAAAACAAAGAAAGATTGCTTGGTGAATTGAGATGTTGTGAGTGGATGGTAGTTTAGGCTTGGGAAGGATGAAGGTTAGAAATCTCTTTGTTGGGTAAATGGTTGTAGAGGTTCCATGAGGGCAGTGGAATGCTTTCGTATTTGGTGATTAGAAGTGTTCAAGGAGTTGATGCGAATTGTTGGGATGCAGGTCTGAAGTTTGAGCTGGTGAGCAGAATCATTTGGACAGTTTGGGGGGGAAGGAGTAGGCCAATAGGATGGCCCCTTTTCTTTCAAGCGAAAGAAAAGGGGAAGAATTATCTGGGGATGTATAGTAGAAGCATAGCAGCACCATTTGGACAGTTTGGGAGAAAAGAAATGCAACAATCTTTAGGGAGTAGGGAAGGAGTAGGGTGGTAGACATTGAATGTACTATAGTGAGAAAAACATATTGATAAAGACAATGGATTTATTCTTGCCTTTCTCAACAGATGACATCATATGGAAGTGGGGAGAATTGGCCAGTAAGGCTGCCAATGGACTCTGAAAATCTAATATCCAGTCTGGCATCTAATCCAATTACTCAGATTTTAATGTTAAAATCTGCATCCACTTAGTAATTGAATTGGATTCAAATTTGACCCATCTGGTCTGATAAAAACTTGAGTCCAATATATGTAATATGATAATTTATATATAAATATATTATATATGTTATTCTATATATATAATTCAAAAAGTAATTAATCTTTTCTTTATTTTAATGATAGTAGAGTGGAGCTGGATTAAAAATCTGATCTGAGTACGATGTTTCATATTTTGGGTCAGATCCGAATTTGCAATTTAAATAATTGGATCAGATTCAAATATAGATGAATCCAATCCAAACCCGACCCATTTATAGCCCTAGTGGCCAGTGCATTCTCCAAAAAGATGTGGTTCAAAAAGCATGGGTACCAAGAGGGGATTCTTAAAACTTAATTTTGATGGCAGCAGTGTTGACTGACAGGCCCAATGGGCTTCATACTTTTTTATTTCTTTAGTTCTGTCACCCTATTAAGGGTACCTTTGTTATTCCAATTCTCATTATGCTTAAGTTATAAAAGAAGTGTTGATTATTGGGAAACCCACAATCGATTCTGGTTTTTTCTCTTTACCTAGTTCCCTTCTTTCTTCTGTTCTTCCTCTCTCATCATCTTGGTTCTATTTCAAGTTTTGTGCTGCTGAAACCAGCTGTAGGTTCATCCATAACCTCATGCTTAGGATGGCAGCTATAGGATCATCCTTAACCTCAAGTTTTTCCAGGGTCAGTTCATCCTTAACCTCATGGTTAGGATCATCCGTATATATGAGGAGTTGAAGCTGCTAATCAATTCTACTATTGTTGCCTGGCTTCTAGGTGTGTTTTGGATAAATCTGTGAAGTCCTTTTGCTGTCCTGAAGAGTGGCTGAAGGTGTACTGCCCAAAAACATAGAGGAAGCCAGATATTGGTTGCAGTTTTTTGTGATAAGGTGTCTCCAGGATGATTGGGACTTGCTTCTAGTTTTTTGGGTCTCTTTTACCTGGTTTCTGAGGTAAACATGTCTGCAAGTTATGTCTATCACTCTCCTTCCTAAAAAATAGAGTGGTCAGTAGCCTTATGTTTATCACTCTCCTTCCTAAAAATATCTAGGTCAAAATCAAGGATAAACTTAGAGATATCCTCTCATGAAAAATAGCCCAGACTTGCTTGATTCTTGCTTTCCTAGTTCTTTTGTCAAACCAATGGTGGTAGAATGGAAAATAGCAAGGAGGAGTAAGCAAAATCTTGCAAATAGCTTGAGGAAAAATGTAGAGCAACAAATGGAAAACTAAATGATTTGAAAAGCACAGTATAGCAGAGCACCAAGGTATTCAGGAAAGAAAAAGAGGGAAAATGGCTTGAGAAAGATGAAATGACAAACAGTCTCAGTGAATGACTAGTGTGGGTACTAATAGGACACCCCACCTTTTCTAGCCACAAAAAGGTAAAGTGCACTAAAATTTATGTGTAAAAACCCCAAAAGTGACATGTGTCCCTAACTCCATGCCCACGACTCTCAAGGAACTGCACTAAAGAACCTCTCACAATATGCCACATGTAAATGATGCCAAATAATAACATTTCCTTGTAATTTTTCAAGGGGGCTTTCTTTATCAAGAAATTTTGAAGGTTTTTTTTTTTGTGGGGGGGCTAATTTTTCAAAATCTCCCAAAATTCCAAATGGTAAGGATGAGATTGATTAGTCAGTCATTTGTAATTTTGGAAACAGAGTACCAAGAGCATCCTATTTGCAAAATGGGGGGATAAGGATAACAAGTTGTCATAAGTAGAAATCACTGATTGCAGTTGTAGATGAATTCCATGTGAAGAGAAGGAAGAAGAAGGTGAAGAGTTTCAGCAGTAGAGAAGAAAAGAGGAGAAGAAAAAGAGTAGGATGTCAACCAGAATTGAATTTATTCTGGCCGCCAACCCCTCATTGTATTATATACTTAACTTAAAAGAATAAGAGATTACAAGAATGCCCTTAGTAGGGCGGCTACTTAAGTAGCTGAACAGTCACAACTTTAAAAACATAGACTAATGGGCCTAAAGCCCAACAACTTCCTAACTTAACAACTTAAAAATAAGAGATAAATAACTGGGACCAATAACTAGAAATCAGTCCAACTCAACACTCCCCCTCAAGTTGGGAGTAAATGTCACACATTCCCAACTTGTGTAGATCATGCTCCAGCTTGTTCCTTGCAACACCTTTTGTGAGAACATYAGCAWGCTRCAGATCAGAAGCAATGTATGGGAGACAAACTTCCCCAAAAGTCACCCTTTCTTTGATGAAGTGTCTATCCACTTCAATGTGCTTTGTCCGGTCATGCTGAACTGGGTTATGGGCAATGTTAATTGTTGCCTGATTATCACAGTACAGCGTCATAGGTTCTTCTTCCTTTACACCAATCTCTCCTAACAGGGAACGGATCCAGAGAAGTTCTGAAACTTCATGTGCCATGGCCCTGTATTCAGCTTCAGCACTTGATCTTGCCACCACTGTCTGTTTCTTACTTTTCCACGAGACAAGGTTTCCCCCAACAAGGGTGCATACTCCTGAAGTAGATCTCCTGTCATCAAGGCATCCTACCCAATCAGCATCTGTATAAGCCTCTAGTTTCAATTGTCCATGATCAGCAAATAATATGCCTCTGCCTCGGTGTCCCTTCAGATAAGCAAGAATCCTGTCAACAACCTCCCAATGTTGGACTCGTGGAGCATGTATGTATTGACTTACCACACTTACTGCATAGGAAATGTCTAGTCTTGTCATACACTAGTACAGCAGCCGCCCCACAAGTCTCTAATATCTCCCAATGTCCTTTACCAGCTCGCCTTCTGATGCATTAATTCTGTGATTCTGATCAATAGGAGTATTGATTCCCTTTGTTCCAAGCTTCCCTGTTTCTTGTAGAAGATCCAAAACATACTTCCTCTGAGAAATAAAAATTCCATGTTTTGACCTTGCAACTTCAATGCCTAAGAAGTTCCTAAGCTCTCCAAGATCCTTAATTTCAAATTCTCTGTGTAGATTCTCCTTCAAACTATCAATCTCACGTAGTTCATTCCCTGTGACAACAATATCATCCACATAAACAATTAGGACTAACACCAAGGATCCCCTCCGCTTCACAAACAAGGTATGGTCAGGTTGAGTCTAAGTGTAGCCAAAAGCAACCAAGGCCTTCTTGGACCTGTCAAACCATGCTCTGGGAGACTGCTTTAAACCATAAAGTGACTTCTTAAGTCTACATACATTTCCCTTTTCAGCATCACTATAGAAACCAGCAGGAAGATCCATATACACTTCCTCTTGTAGATCTCCATTTAGAAAAGCATTCTTCACATCAAGTTGAAACAGAGGCCAAGAGTATGTGGCAGCAAGGGAAAGAAGTATCCGAACAAAAGTCATCTTTGCAACTGGTGCAAAGGTTTCTAAGTAATCAATGCCATAGGTCTATGTGTACCCTTTTGCAACAAGTCTGGCCTTATACTTTTCTATACTTCCATCTGGCTTATATTTGACTGTGTAAACCCATCTGCATCCAACAGTCTCCTTGCCCTCTAGTAGATCCACAATCTCCCATGTCTGATTCTTAATTAAGGCTTTCATATCTTCCTGCATAGTTGTCTTCCACTCAGGATAGATACTGTAGGATAGATACTGTGAAATCCAATGAACAATACACTTTCTCTTCCTTTTTCTGAGAGCAATAGAAAGGTCTAAGTTATCTTTAATG